ATCAAAATAGAAATGGCAGAAGTTATAAATATTGTATTCCAGATAATTACAGTTTAAAAAAAATGTGCACACGAGTGTTCAAAACAAACATATTACATGAAGTTTAGAGTCTGAGGTGAAGAAAACACTAATTAAGGGAAATTTATGAGAGTCTTTAGCAAGTTCTTTGATGAAGGTATTTATTTGGTTACTTGATCCTCCAACCAATCACATTAACAATGACAAAAGATATGCAAATCCAAGCAGACAATAGCCAAGCCAACTGCTCTGACTCATACCAACTGGGACATTTCAACATATTCAGCTTGATTCATTCTTGTGAGGATTGACATAACCAAGGACCATTTTAATACTTATGTTTGGCTATAATCTGAAAACTATGCCATAATCTCTGACCAAGAACAAAGCAAACGAGAGTCAAATTTATTTCACAAAACAAATTAACATACGAAATGCGTGCATGATGTAACCTCGGCAGAACTGTGCATTTGCTCTGTCACTGCTGAAAAATTACATAGCAACAACAACAAAAAAATATGCATCGCTGTGTGAGTCACCAATTTGATTGTCTGTTTAAAGCAAACAAAACATGACATTTTTGGTAGAATATCTCATTCACAATTTAGAAATATATTTCCCACTGGTGTCTCCCCTCAAAGAACCCAGACTAATTCATCATGATTTAATTCTCATCGAAAACACTGTGGATGGGACACTGACCATATTAACAAACGATTAAACCAAAGTCATTTATTCACTGTAGAATGAAATTTTGCCAAAGAAAAACCAGATGTTCTATTGTAAACTAATACTATGAATAGTGCCGGGAAATGTGTCTAAGATCCTTACAGACTGTTTGCCTCCTACTTTTCGTGCAGAGGTCTTAACTTTTCACCTGTGATCTGGAGCAGGAAGCTGCCATTCCAAGTTTCGGAACGCCAGACCTGCCAAGTTCCAGTTCACACGCCGAAAGAAGAAACTGTGATCTTAGTTCAGTCCCTAGTGGACAGAAGGAGAACTCTCACCAGTCATGATTCAGCAGGCACAGAACTAAATAAGTGACTGGGACCTCACAGAAGAGAAGTTTGTCTTTTCTCCATCTCACATCCTCTTAGAGGGTTCGCTGTGCTAGCCTCCTTGTGATCCTCCTGCCCAGTGTTTAGCACAGGTCCTGGGGGAGAAGAGTTTACAAACAGGAATGCTGTCACGTCTACAGAAACATGCTGTTACATAGCTAAACAGCCAAGAGGGAACGAGTTGGAGAAACTACACACCATTGAGAAGGCAGTCTTAACAACAGCAACGACAAAATGTTCTGTGGCTCAGGGAAAAAGAGCCACGTGCCCATCAATCTGACTTCTCTAAATTCGGATCAAATATGTATTCAATTAAACGTTGTGGAAGAGACTGGGGCTCCCAGGGGGCACTGTCTCTGTAACTAATCCAGGGAAAGGAGGTTTGTCAGGAGTTAGCACAGCCTTCCTATGTTCAGCCTAGTCTGCAGGTGCACTGAGGAGATGCCATGGGCTTAGTTTCTGCCCTCGGTGTGGGCAGAGCCCCTTTCTTATGCCTTCGTATCAGAATCTGTTCATTTTTTTTCTCATGCACAGATGAAATATATGACAAATGTCAACCTTGCTCGTCTACGGTTTGAGAAGTCCCCTTTACTTACAAATACAATCTTTCTAAGCAAACATAATACAGCTACTTGATATTGCTCTCACTCCATGACGGTTTTATTAAAAGTTGGGGATTGGGAACTAAACATTTTATGACCATTTCCCACGGTAGCACACAAACTCCTTGCTGTACAGACTGCTTAAACCCCAGTACGACTATGCTTTCTTTCTACACAACTTCCCTAAGAAGTGCGCGCTTTCTTTTCTGCAGTTGGGTTCTGACAGTCAGAATGCTCAAGATAAACTTTAGAGAAAACCAGCGCAGACATAAATTGTCTCAGTGTTAGATGCACACACGAGGAGCCCCAGCCACAAGATCAGAGGTTCGCACAAGCCCGGGGGATCCTTGGCTTACCCAGGAAGTGGAGCCCAGAGAAGAGAGAGCCCCTTTTCTTTTGCAAACACTGCCCCCCGGAGCAAAAGGTAAACACAAATGGCCCCCCATGGAACTCTGAGCTCGCTGCTGCACGGAGGGAGCGCGGAAAGGGCTCTATGCAATTAGAAACTGAAAGCGATCACTTACTTTTTGCAGCCACTGAGTATAATTTTCCATCACATGCTCCAGATGCTGAAGTTTCTGGGAAGAGAAATCAGGCTCCACGTGTGGAGCGTCCCTCTGCAGAGCGTTCGTGTTGTACTGCTCCGGGGCGCTCTCCCGGCAGTTCCCGTCGTGTTCGGGAAGAATGAAAGTGTAGGCACATTGCCCATGTTGAATCCGGTTATATCTTCTGCCTCCGTTTTCTGGACTCCGGCGCTGGTTGCTGCAGCCTATGTGAGTCACAATGGCAGCGAAGAATGCAAAGGACAGGAAAACTGTCATTGTGCTGCCAGCGCTCGCCTCCCGTGCCTCCTGCAAAGCTCGCTCTTCTCTTCTGACCTTTAAACTAGTTCTTTATTTCAGGTAAAAAAAAAAAAAAAAAAAAAACTGCTTGTTTGACTCTTTCCCCCTTAAAGAAAGCATTTGAAACACATCCACAGAAAAGTAGCCATTTGTTAGCTTGGTTCTAAAATGTTACTTTAAAAAAAATTTTTTTTTTTTACTGTAATGATAGTTTCCTACGTTAAAACTTGAGATATTTATTGCATAGTAGCTGAGATTTATTGTTTCCTCTCTGGGTAACCGTTCAGCGCGGAGGCTGCCTGAGTCAGCTGCGAGTACATGTTCTAGCCCTATCTGTAGCTCATCTGCTATTTTCTCCCAGTCCTCAGTGAGTTTTATTAAGGGTGCACATCCAAGCCAAGCTGGACGCAGGCAGCCTTTCACAAGCTGACTTGACAGGAACGCATGAGTGTGCCCCTATGCGAACGAAGGATTGCCGATGGCTTTGGGCGGAGGATCAGCTTACAAATTGGCTAGATGCGCATGACCTCGATCATGTATGGGCCTCCCGCCCCTTCCGCAGACAATTGCCTTGAGCCCTCAGCAGAGGCACGGAAAATCAATAAACACAAGTAGTCCACCTTAATACGCTTGGGTGTGCATGCTGACCTACTAAAATCTATCACGCTAGAAATATGTTTCCAAAGTTACTGCCTAATTGAGAAACCCTAAATTGGCAAAGCTCCAATGGATTATTTTTTTTTATAATTCTAGAAAATTATTAAATTAAAATTTCTTTTTTTTTTTTACTCTGGGGAAAAAAACATTAAAAAAAAACTATTTTTAGAGATGTCATTCCTCCTTTGTGTTTACTTAGGCTTTTGGGAGGCAGGGAAAAACATCAAAAGATCAACTTATCAAGAAAATTACCATAATTTGTCACTCACAGTGACATGGCATATACATACTAAGTAGCATTTTTTCTGAGTACCGTTTGGGATATGGATTTTAAATGAAGCTGGTTTCTTGCTCAGAATGCAGCCGTTTACATTCTGTGAGTATAATTTCTTCAACTTCCCTACCAAAACAATGTGGTTACAGCTTAAGACAGTGGCCTGAGAATTATTAATTCCTGTGGTACATGCTAATCATATATTTCACAAGAAGCTCTGGCATTGCTCTGGCTGTCTTTAACACTGCTATGGAAATTCCACACAAATCCTCTGTGGCTACAGAGGCCAACCCTCTGAGAACAGGCATGTATCAGGTGTGCCAATGGCTTATACAAGAGAAACCTCTGTGGTTTTCTGAAGAAAGACACGGTCAGAAGGTGTTTTCCCAAGTACAGAATATAAATATCTGAACAAGGGGACAGTTAAATACAAAGACCAGGAGATGATTACGGAATTTAGTATGGCACCAGGGTATTTACTGGATATGTGTATTAGGCATGTTTTGCAATGGGCAGGGTTTTCATTGGGACTGGATGGGCTTTGAAGGAGCCTCTCAGTCACGTGTACAAACACAAGCCACAGGGTGACTCTAGTGTCCTGGAAGGGGAGTAGGGCAGTGGGTAAAGTTCAGTGGTGCTTACAGATGTCTTTAGAGGGAAGAAGAGAGGTCAACATAAACTCTAAAAAGTCTGTGGTTTGCCTGGGGGGAGAAGACCAGCCATGGCATTCTTCAGCCCTTTCCACACCAAATAACACATTTCTGATCAGATGATATATTATGCCAGGCATAGGAGTAAAAAAAATCTCTGACCACTACAAGAGGCTTGTATTATTGCAAGGGTCATGGGGGCTATTATTCTTAGGCAGCTATAGTCACTTTAGAGTTTGCTATTTGTCAGCTCACGTTAAACACTCTTTATATACTATCTCATTTAATCATGGCAAGAAACCTAAGATGTGGGTGCTATGGTTAACTCTTTTTTTATCATCAGGAAACTTAGTCACAGAAAGCCTGATCAGCTACAGCTCAAAGCATGGCTTGCCAATGATTATGCAGATGGGCTCTGAGACTGACTTTGTAACCATGGGGTCAGCTGTTTTTGAAAACCTCCGAGATGAATAAAGGGCTCCAGCTGAATTGCTCTCCACACTCAAAGTTGAGAACTTTCTGGTACCCAGTAAAGAAAGGACAGGAATATCTAGTTTACCTCTGTGCGTTTTAAAATGATGTCTTGTGTAGCCAGGATGACATCGAACTTGTGATATTCATGCTTCTACCGGATACTTCTTTACTAACACACATCCTTTATGCAGTGCTTGGGACTGAACCCAAGGTTTCCTGCAAGCTGGGCATATGCTCTACCAACTGAGCTACCTTCCCAGCACAAATACGATTCAATTCTTTCTCTGCAGCCCCACCAAGTGCTGGGCACCCCCTACACAACCACAGGATGAAGCCGACCAGCAAAGCAGATTGCCTCAGAATGCTTCCCAGAGATGCTTACATTGAAAACCGTCCATAGAAAGACGAGTGTCCAAAACCAACACCTATAAGTGCTTTGTTAAGAACTAAAGGCAGCTGAAAACTGGCAGGGAGTTAATAGAGGACTGATGAGGTCTCTATGACGGCACCCCCGTGTTCCTGCCTGGTCCTGACAGACTGTTCTGTGTGTGTCTGCCCATGTGAACCTTCTGATCTGAATGGATAAAAGTGTACAGTTTCCACAAGGAGGCACAGATAACCAGGAAAAGGAACTGAAGCAAGTCTAAAAGAGTTCATGGTGACCAAGAGAAACAGATGATTCAGGAGTTTTGCCAAAAATAAAGAGTCTACAATAGTGGAAGAGCTAACATTAATCTAGAGAAAATGTCCACAGATCCGTCATAAGGAGTTAATAAACACAGAATTGTCTATACACCCCTGTGTTCTGAAGCTCCAGCTAAGGGACAGTGTGTAGGCCTTGGGGAGTCCCCACTCACCATGGTTAATATGCTTTGGGGCCAAGGATCTGATCAAGGGTGACAGCTCATTGTCACTAGCTAGCTTTTCGGAAATATTCCACAATTCAGGAAGTGACAGGAAGTACAAGCTGTTAAGATTGTTTTCTACCTCACCTCCAAACTTTTTATAATTCTAAAGAGATAAACAATTACATTGAGTCGAAGTTTGGAATACACTAGTTTTGAAGCCTGGAATAATGGTATGTGAGTCACGAGTCATATTGGCAAAAGTATATTTACATATAATTTACATATTTACGTAAATTCTGGAGTTTCCACAGAGACCAGGGACACCATTAAAATGGGTACTGAATGGCCTGAAATATGCCCCCCCCAAATTATGCTTTGTGGCTTTCACAGTGAAGCTTCCTGATTTTAAAATAATGCCCAATAAGTGGCTATATCTGTTAAATTTCAGTAACCTCCTCTTTATCTCTCTCACAGTCTCATCCTTCCTTCTAATGGTTCATTTGACTTGATTGCTTTTGTTTCTCTCCCTTTCTAACTAGGAGCGGTTAAAAATGAGCTCCCTTCTTTCACCATTGATTCCCCCCCAGGCCTTTATTGAAGGAATGAAGCATTAATGAATGAATGAATTGGAATAACTAATTACTGAACTCATGCATTTTTCTGGTTATTCGTATACTGTAAGACTGCCCACCCCCATTGTTTTTTGTTGGGTGAGTTTTCCTAGACCCTCTAAATGTAAGGAAGTATGGTAAATCTAAACGTAGCCTAAAGAACGACATAAAAACATAGCGAAACATCAGTCCATGTCTTCAAAACCCTTTGACAAATTATTTTCCATCTAATGTTTACCCATCTTGCATATTAGAAAATTAGGTCACATAAAGGCTCATTTCCCAAGACAGCGGAGCAAGAACTTGAGCTGTAACTTGTCTCTTAGTCACAAGTATCTCAACGGAACTAGGCTGCTGACAAGAATGCTTCAGTGTGAGGACTCAAGTGGAACTTAGCTCTTAGAATTTAGGATGTAGGAACAGCAGACACTACTGCCAAGCACAGCCACGTAGATTCCTGTTCTGGTCTTCGCAATCAGGGCGAATCCTACCTCAGAACACACTAGTATTGTTGTCCCATCTGCTCACCAACACAGAAGCTGATTGCTTCGTCAGGCAATTCTTTCAGTCCATTCCGAATGATTACTTCCATGACACATCACTCACGCCCTTCTGTCATCTCTAAGTGGCAACAGCATCCACAGCAGATGGAGATACTACGCCAAGCTAATCCAGAAGATGATGCCGGGTCTTGCCTGCTAACTAGCCGCCCATCCGTGGGTACATGTGACGTGTCCCTTGCTCGAGCTAGTTGGGAAAGCACTGCTGAAATCTGTAGACACAGCAGTAGATGAGCTGAGGGGCTAGAGACAAAGGCAGATGAGGAAATTATTACTTAAACGTAGACTTGCCTTCTGGTGGAAGAAATTCCTAGCAATTAGTGAATGTCTTGCTTGCAAAGTTAATTTTTAACCAGAACAAATCAAGTTAGAAAGAGCTAAGGCAGAATTTGCTCTAAGAAAGGCTGGAAGGACTAGGAGACTCAGGGAAACAGAGGTCTGGAGGGGTAAGAGAAGTCTGGAGGGGTTGGTGGGAATTGGGTCAAAGAAGAGAGGGCCTTGTGGCTGTGTGGCCATAGGAGAACAAGAGAAGGGGATGCTGTATTAAGTAGGCGGATTGTGGTGAGTTGGCATTTCCTGTGGATAAGAAGAGCCATTGGTCCTTGTTTTGCACATGGGACAACATGTGGCTTGTATAAACTACGACTGTGCACACAGGCTCCCTTTTCTATGTTGGTTTTTACATTGGATCAGAGTTCTGGACGCAGGCAATCTGCCTTTCTTATGAATGGCTTCTGCCTTTCTTATGAATGGCTAGATCCTCTGTTTCCTGACACAGAGTGGACACTGGGTGACTGCCATATAGCATGCTGACTACTGACACACCCACTTCAAGTTTCAGTGCTCACAGTGGAAGGCACAGAGGTGCCATTTGGGTATGCAGATTCCAAAAGGAAACCCAGATG